CGTGCCCCCCTCCCCGCACCCCAGCCGACCGGGCGGGCTGCTGGGCGAGGGCCGCGGTGGGGAGGGGCGCAGAGATCACCCCCTTCGGGTTTGTCCGGCTTATCTCACGCGGGTGCGTGTGAAGCGCTGATGTCGGACGAGAGCCGAGCTTTTTTTTTTACGTCTTAGGCTGGGAGGTTTGTAAAAGTGAGGACCGTAAACAGCCAACGCGCGTATTTCCATCATCAACCAGAAAGAGAAAAATACCTGTCAGGGCTTCCCGCTAAACGCCGTGCGGGCTGCTTCACCAGGGTAGTTAAAAATCTAGTTTGCTTTTGTTCGAAGAAGCCCGAAGCATTAACAAAACCCGTCTTTCCAACGTGACATCGTAACAAAAAAGGACAGTTAGGGCAACGCTAAATCGCTTTAGTGCAGTATCAGAGCATCCGAGAAGGCTCCAAACTCTGCTCAGAGCTCTCTGTTCTCGCTCACTCAAAATATTCACTTTTGTTCTCCAGCTGCCTATAAAACTCCAGAAGAGGAGCGCTCTCATTTTTACACTGGAGTTCTCGGTCCGGAGAGAACAATATCCTCCTACCTCTTTTGAAATGATACGGAGACTCACAACGCACAGGCGATCACTCGAAGCACGAGTCTCCCCTGTTGTTGTTTTTTCTTTTTTTTTTGCAAGAGCTGCTCGGCCCATTGTTTGAAGTGGGATTCAGCGCGCAGCCCAAAGAGAAAAAGAAAAAAACCCCAAAAATCTTAGGAGCCTGGTTTGGTATTGCATAGAGAAAGACCTGAAAAAATATTACAGCGTGTTTCCTAGAAGTACGTGATGGAGAGCCGGAGGTGTGCTCCCGAAAGAGAGGTGTGGGGTTTTTTTTTTTCCCCCCTAAAAGATTGTGATCGCCTTTGTACGTTTTTCTTTTGATCCCACAAAGAGAATGCAATATAGATATATGTGTTTCCTCTCCATACAAGAAATGCAAGGGACCGTACAATGGAATATACGGCCGGTTAGTCCTCATAATGCTTAGTTTTGCTGTAATTAATTGAAAACAGTTATTAGGTCGTCATTGGCAATAGCGTAAATAATTGCAGCAGATTTTTACTTAAAATTGACCGGTCACAGAGTGATAGATCGATTCGAGGTATAAAAATGATGTATCAAAACATCAATGTCGATTATTTGAAATATTGTAGTCGAATCTTTTTATTGCTTCATCGGTTAAGTGTCTGAAAGTGCTGTGTTCCAACATATATTTATGTTGTCAATACTGTCAAAACTGTCAGTTTTATTACAGTGGATTTGTAATACATTTCGGATTTGCTCATTTACATAAAATGTCCACCCCAGATACCCCTCCTTTTCCCCATCTCTGGAAATCTATGTCAGTTTAATGAAAGGATTCGGGACTCATAGCTGAAGCACAAAAAAAGTGGAGATATTGCTCCATTAAGTCCAATTTAAACATCCCTTTGGAAAGCTTGGGCTATTTCTAACTTGCCATAAGAGGGAATTCCCCCCTCCC